GAAAAGCTTTGTACAGATATCCTTGAATACTGTTTCTACGATTCATGGGCAGTCCTATTGAGTATAATTAAGATGCAGAAATTGGTTTCATATCGATTAGATGCGATGATTTATAATTGTGAATATGCACAGCCATTCCGTGGTGGTAAAACAAGCATGTTGAACTGCCTTATAGCTAAGGAGTATAACAAGGAACATAATGACAGACCGGTATCATACGGTATCAAAGATAAGAAGAAATTTCAAGGGGCGGAGGTAATCGACCCAAAGACCGGGTACTACATGGATCCTATCTATGTACTTGATTTTGCAAGTTTGTACCCATCGATAATGCGTGAATACATAATTTGGTGGAATTATTCGTAACTTCGGTAAACATAATTTTAGGAATTAATTCGTAAGTCTGGTATATATAGAGTTGAAAATTACATTTTACAAACTTACAATACATATAATTTCACGTAAGTTCTAGTAACATGGATTTCATGTAAATTATACACGTAATATATAGTACCGGCACTATGAAAAACTCAGCTAGCAAGCATTGTTGAATTCTACATAAAGTTTACTGATCAAATCGATGTATTATAATTTTTGTTTATCTTAGCTCCGGTCGGAATTAATACTCCTAAATCTGGTCATAATTAATTATCTTAACTCTAGTCAAAATTATAATTTCTATTTATTTAAAAATTATTTTAACTCCGTTCGGAATTAAAACTCCTAACTCGGCCAAATTAATCTACCAGAATTATTTTAATTCAAGTCAAAATCATAATTCTTATTTATTTTAAGAACTATGCTGAATTAGGGTTGTTAAATTACTGTAATTTTACGTAAACTTGTGTAAGTTTCTGAAATCAAAATTACATGTAATTTTGATCATGTGAATAACTTTGGCCAAAACATTTGTAAAGCTAGAATAAAAAATAAATATATAATTACAATTCCGAACATATTGATAGATATTGTTAACGCTAGCAAAACTTTTGTAATGCTGGTGCAATTATCATGTGACAATGCACTATTCATGTAAAAGTTACGTACAATTCAATGTAATATCTGATATACATGTAATTTACCCAACCCTAATCAGAATTATCTTATGTTTGTTTAAAATTATCTTAACTCTGGCCATGATTTTACGTCCCTATCTAAGATCAAATTTTCGGTGATTTAGAAGTTACAGTTAGGGTTAAAAATTACATTTCATTTCACGTAATTTTGCGTAAATTTCAGTAACATGGATTACAATTAAATTTTATTTTACATGATATAAAGTACCAGCATTATGAAAACTTAGCCAGCGTTATCGAATTATGCAAATATAAAATTTAATGTGATTATATTCACAAACTCTGGATAAAGTTTGCCAATATACTCATGTGATTTAGCTTGATTCAACTGATCACGTGAATTACAAATTACATCAACTTGTTACAATTACTGAATTAGGGACCATTTTCATGTAATTAGTAATAAACCTTAAACACACAAAATTACATAAAAAAAGTTTTTATGATTACGTTTCTTATATAAAAGTTTATAATTTTTAATTTCACGATTTCGTAGTTGGAGGCTACTTAGCGTTAGAGGTTTATTACACTTACGGTAAACAAAAGAAAAATTGAAAGAGTCATCTATCTTAATTAATCAAACATGTGATAAAAAGGGCAGGAAACCGTTTTATTCATATTGATATCTTGATTTAAAATAATTCTGTAATTCCAGTTCCAAGGAGGTAGTCAATGCTCGGGAAGCCAAAAGTCTTCAAGTGAGTCTTTTCCACATTTTTCCAACTTGATTTGGTTTTCAATGATTCAACTCGAGTTTAATTTTTGGTCTTCAAATAACATACTCCTGCTTTTAGAATCAAGTTCCCGAATTATAATCTTTACAGGAAAATTCCTGGTCGGAATGCATCAGAGTCTATAGATAGGGTTGTTAATGGAGTACTCCAGACTATAATAAAACATATAACCCGCCTCTGGAGTGCTCCGGAGTGGGTTATATGTTTTATTATTGACTGGAGTACTCTATTAACAACCCTATCTATAGACATTCATTAAATAAAAAATGCTCTGCTGATAATCTTACTATGACTTCATTCTCTCGCCGACTTGAATTCTGATTCTGACCAGGAATTTTGGGATCACCCTGTATGAGTTTTTTTATGATTGGTTAATCGCATCTTTTGCAGATCTTATTAAAAATTAGAGTATTCTAAATTAGAGTAGTTTTTATATTAGCATAATGATACAATAAAATTTATACTATCGTAATTCTAGTTAAAACAAAAAAAACTAGTTCAGGATTTAATTTGTGCAGAATTCTAATATAAATTTGAATATAAATTTGGAGTATAAAATTTGGCATACTTTAGAGTTTTTAACATTTAACCAAACTGTAATGAATACTATTATTCTATTCTTCGCTCATCTAAGGAAGGCCCAAAACTAATGGGCTTGGGTAGACGTTTTCCCATATTTAACAGATAATTAAGACTATAACTCATTTCAAAAACATTTTCTTACATAATAAATATATACTTTCCGCTGGCTTGATTTTTACCGAAAAAGTTTAGAAAAAGAGTTTTTTGTTCTTTTTTTGCCTGTCAGTCATTATTTTTCTTATTTCTCATAATATTAATATTCGCAAAAAAAAAAAAAAAAAAAAAAAATTCAACTTCTTGATGCTGTAAAGCAACTTCACTAATGACTCCATAAATTTATTCTGCTGTTATTGCAACAAAAAGATTTAAATTGGTATCATTTAGAGGAAGAGCCGATTGCGTGGAAATTTTTTTATTGGATTTTTTAGTTGTTTTAGGTAGCATAACGAAGATCAGGAAAAATAGAAAAAGAGTATCTCAAGCATTTGATTTTATTAATATCATTGATTGTGATGCTATAATGTATATAATTTATTAAAATAAATACTGCAATTTATTAAAAAAATAATAAAGGAATAGTAAAGGAGAGGAAGAGAAAACGAATTAAAGGAACCGAGTAGTGACGATCCTCGGGTCAGATCGGTTAAAGTTTAAGAATAATTTAATTCGAAGTTTGATTTTTCCAGGTTGAAAGACTGTCGAAAATCAAAAAAACAAATACAATCGTCGAGGTGTGCCAAACCTTCGATGAAGGGGAGTTTCATTTTTCCATGCATAGAAACCTGTAATAAACGCACCCGTGTGAAAAAATTACATGATGTTGTTATACATTTAAGCTTGCACCACCACCTTGATCTTCTGAAAACAATGAAACAAAAGACCGGACCAATGCGAACCCAGAATTTTTTATCACGAAAACTCTATAAAACGGATTGTTTCGTGTTAGAGAGGTCGAACCGCAGGACGAACTAATTTAAAACACCCCGGTATTTTCACCACTTCTGACAGTTAGTTTTTCGCAAAGTATCTAACCCTCGAGGGCCCTTTGACGAACAAAGGTCGTGTCAGTTCTTTTTGGTTTGACCAGGAAAAAACATGTCATTTTAGTGAGATTATAGGAAACAAGCTGTGCTTCCCTACCACCAAATACCCCTCCCCTTAACTCAGACCACAGACGGAAGCATCCGTGGAATAAAAAAAAATTGATTTCTATCAGGGATTCACCCGGTCAGACTGGAACCCCCGAAAAGAATATAACGACCCAGCACAACACCGAAAATGACGTAAAAAATCCCAGCCCGTAACCTAACTATGAAATACATAAAGGGACTCATAGAAGGAATTATTCACTGAGTTGTCATGACCGATAGACTGATCAATCTACCTCATGTGAGAGACCCTTCCTCTAATCATTGAACCCTTTAGAATTCACATTTTTGCACCAACACGAGGACAGCCTTACACCGACCTCACCAAGGGACCAAGTTCCCTCGAATTCACATACGGATGCTGGTCGTGAGAATGGTTAGAGTGGTTCCGGGCGATTGGCAGCCTTACAACGTCCTTGACAGGCTGAGGATTTTTACCTCATAGGGTAATACTCGAGCATTACGAGCGTTAACTTTTCGTTCAAAAACTACTCAACATATGCTGCGGTTTTTAGTTAGTAGGTTAGTAAAAAAAAAAACACAAACAAACCAGTGTTCGAAAACGTTGGTACGGGTTCGACAACCGAAGAAGTCGAAACCATAAAGAAAAAAAAGAACTCCGAACAATGATATAGCTAATTTTTTACTAAAAAAAAAAAAAAAATAATAAACCATAAAAAAAATGGGTGACTCAGAGGCTAACAAGATTAAAAAAAGGGAGACGTTAACGAAAAAACCATAAACGCAACGTC